ATTTTATTCCTTAACAAAGGTCAGGAAATAAAATAGGCCAAGTATTTAAAGAAATTTTTATTTCCATCCTGTATGAGTTTTCTATCACTGCTGTAAAAAATAACACAAACTTAGTGGCTTAAAACAACTGCCATTTATTATTGCCCAGTTTCTGTAGGTTGGAATTCCAGTAGGCACCGTAGTCCGTGCTTGAGTATTACAAGGCTGAAATAAAGGAGTCAACAGGACTATGTTCCTTTCTGGAGCTAGAGGAGAATCCATCTCTTTGTTCATTCACGTGGTTGACAGAATTTATTTGTATACAATTGAAGGACTGAAGTCCATTTCTTTATTGGCTGTGAGCTGGGAGTCATTCTCAGCTTCTAGAAGCCACCTATATTCACTGGCTTGTGGGCCCTGCATCTTAGAGCCAGTAATGATAGATGGAGTCCCTCTCACTCTTAAAATCTCTCCTACCTGTTCTTCAACCATTGCATCTCTCTGACAGACTCTTCTGCCTTCCTCTTCTATTTTTAAGGGCTCTTGTGATTACACTGAGTTCATCCAGATAATCCAGGAGAATCTTTCTATCTTCACACCCTTAATCATAATTCCTTTTTCAAAGTTTCTTTTGTTGTGTAATAGAACATACCTGGGAGTAACAGTAAGAGCAAAGATCAGGAGGGCTAAGGCTCTTTCGACTACATACACCCAGGTCATTCTGCCAGCCAAATTCTAGGACCCTGTTTTATTCTTAAAATAAGTTTATACTCTAGAACTCATGGGAAACTTCTATGAGTTTAAGAGACTCAGGTTGACCATGAAAGGAGAAATTCCCTCTGTTTAGTGCCCCAGAAATTTAATGCAGGAAAGCAGTGTACCATAGTAACATTAAGAATCCTTCTTCTGTGGGGAAAAAAAAAAAAAAAAATGAAACAATCGATTTACCAGAAGAATTAATTTTGAGTTGGATACATATATTTTTCAGGATTGTGACATTAAATGCCTTAAAACAGTGCCGTGGAAATCTTTGCCTATCGTCCAGTATTTGAGCATTCCCTACTCACATACCCCTACCCCATTTGAAAACAACTGGATGATGACATCTTTAGGAATCATTCCACCTTAAGTACCCCGGAATTTTTCAATTCTGTCCCTGAATGAATGAAGCACTATTAGTTTTCAAAGAAATCATTGAAACTAGAGGAGAGCTAATCTGCCAAGCCAAATATTTTGAAGTGGGTAGATCTAAAGCTCTCATACAAGAATATTATAAACAATAACTGGAATGGCTATCAGACAAAAATATTGGTTGAATTCCGTGAGTGGATGATGAAATAACCAATGGACTGAAAATTTTAATTTCAGAAACTTGAAAGATAGTTTAAAACTAAACCACCTTTAGAGTTGAATTGGATTAATTTAATTCACTAGTGAGTTCTACATTTGATGTTCGTATTAGTCTGTTTTCACACTGCTATAAAGAACTACCCGAGAGTGGGTAATTTATGAATAAAAGAGGTTTAATTGAGTCACAGTTCCACAGGCTTAACAGGAAGCATGGCTGGAAGGCGTGAGGAAACTTACAATAATGACAGAAGGCAAAGGGAAAGCAAGGCCCATTCTTCACATGGTTGCAGGAGAGAGAAGGAGCAAACAGGGAAGTGCCACACATTTTTAAACCATCAGATCTCATGAGAACTCACTCACTATCACAAGATCAGTAAGAGGGAAATCCGCTCCCATGATCCAGTCACCTCCCACCAGGCCCTGCCTCCAATACATGGGGATTACAATTCGATATGAGATTGGGTGGGGACATAGAGCCAAACCTCACAATGTATTAGACATGAGCAAGAACCATTTGAACTTTTCATCATAGAGAATGTTTTTCCAGAGGATCAAGTTAATTAGAAGAATTATCTCTGGAGGCACTGCTTGGCTCTACTTTTCCTAACCTAACTACATTGTCAACCACATAGAAAATTTATAACATCAAGGTGTCTGTTTATAGAGTTCTATTGCAAAATAGAGGTGTGACATTAACTATTGTCTTCCCAATTCATAGTGCTTATCATGCACTATGCATGACAATTTATGCATTCACTATTAGAAAAGACACAGCCAGCACTGGATATTTTTCCTGGACCATAGCTAGACTTTCTTCTTCATTGCTTGGTCAATGGAGGATGTTATGGAACCAAAATTACACTGTTCAATAGGAGAGCCCCTGGCCACATGTGCTATTGAGTCCTTGAGTTATAGTTAGTCTGAACTGAGATGTACTGCAAGTTTAAAATGCGTACTGGATTTCAAAAACTTAGTTCAAATTTTTAAAAATAAAAGTATTTCATTAAAAACATTTTACATTGATTACATGTTAGATAATAATTTTATGTATATTTGGGTAAATATATTGCTGAAATTAAGTTTATCAGATTATTCACATATTTTAATGTGGCTGTTAGAACATTAAACATTACAAATTGGCCCACGTTGTATTTTCGTTTGTTGTTAGTGCTTTACAGACCATAGCGAGACTCCAAAAGTCATTTTCTCAACCATGCTATGTATGTGCCTAGCAGTCTTGTTTTACGACAAGTGCTCAATCTTCTTAAAGGTCTTTCTCCTCCTCCTCTACTCCTCATCAAAGGCAGAGTCACACTGGTTCTCAAGGCTAGTAGTTCAAAAGAGATTGCTGGCCTCTCATTACCTTACTATTTTCCAACATCCATTCAGCAAATCCAAGGCTTAATTATTACTTGTGTAAAGTTTTCTTAGAGAGGTTAATAAAATGTAGTGATACTTGAAACCAAAATATTCTTGTGAGCCAGTTGTTCTGAACAGTGTTGGGTTTTCAATATTGATTTTTAATGATAGTATTTGCTCTTCATAAATAAGATGATACTTACTCTCATTTCTTCATTTCCCAAAGCAAGACAGCCACACAAAAAAACATATATATATATATATATATTTTTGTTCTGTATGAGGATGAGTTTGATGCAACTAAAAAAAAGTAATCAGCACAGAACTGCCTAAACATTTAGCACCAGGTAGAGATAAATTCCATCTTTAATAACATCTACAACTTCTGAATAATTGTTTCTTAGGTGTGAAGTCAGTCTGATGCCTTGCTCTATCCATGAACATAGACAGCAGCTGGTCAGACAACTCTGCATGCAGTTTTGACTACAGAGCTACAAAGATTTATCAAGGAGAGAAAAAGAATTGCAGCCCAAACCCATAGCCAGGCTTGTTTCACTATCCTTCTTGAGAACCATCAAGATGGCTCCATAACAAAGCAAGTGAAAGGCAAAGCAATGCCAAATATGAAAGACTTGAACCCAGATCAATAGAGCTTCTGCATGTAGTAAAGTGCATTAAAGGGCTATGATGTGTATACAGAGACAGAAATGTTAACAGGCCAAAAAATTCAGTAATTTAGGGGAAAAGGCAGAAAAATACGTGGTGGAGCAAGATCCCTTTAATACCACTGGAGTCTGTTGAATGGTATAGCTTTGGGCTGCACACAGGTATCCAAGATCACACAAGGTTAGAAGTCATATCCAGGCAAGCTAGAGGACAGGGATGCCCAAATAAGGGGAGGTAGAGTGATTATCTGTCAAAAGATAAGTGGACAGGTAAGTAGACAAGAAAATAAAGTAGAGGGCAAAGCAAGAAGGTGATTCAACATTCAGAGTAGAAAGTGACAATCAGCCAACCAAAAAACACAAAGAAGATAAGTAGGAACTGATGTTACTATTAAGGCAAGAATGTTTCATTTAACATTCCAAGGAAGTAACTAGAAGTGAAGGTGATGACAAAGCCAATTAACTAATGTCTATGGGTTACTATTGTAACATAACAATTTTAGTGACAACGCAAATCTTCCTAGAGGCAGAAGTGAAGTGTGGTCATTCTGAAGAAAGGCTTGAGGGAACATGAGGCTGAAGAGGTGTGTGGGGACTAAGATGGGAAGATCCTGACAGGTAGAACTGCTCAGAGTTGGGAACACACAGTTGGCTGTCACCTGCAATGGTTTCTCAGTGCCTCACAACTTGGTAGAGGTGTTATATTTCACTGGATTATGAAAAAACTTGGGATCTGCTTATAGGGTGGGGCAGGGAGTCATATCCTGAATTGCACTTTTTTTTCCTTTCATTCAAAATACTCTGGTGCTCATGCATTTACTGACACTATTCCTGGTGGTGGCTCAGCTCAGGAGGTGGACATTTCCAGGACTCTGTAGTCCATGTTCTTGTTCTGCTCCTTGGTGTCTGGTGATGGTCATGTGGGAAATCAAGTAGCAGATGAATCCGGTGTGCCCCACATACAGACAGAATTGACAACATAATTATTGTTTGTAGATTAATTATCATTCCATCATAGTTTCTTAGCCTGTGCTATACAAAAGGGAACAAAACAGTTTCCTTTTCAAAACTGGCACCTTCTTAAGGAAACAATTATATCAAACAAAATCATAAAAACTGAGCCATCAAAATAGAGTTTTATGCAGTAACCAAATGTATCATTACATGACAGAACTGAGTGAGATTTTAATGGTCATCTCTTATATAGTAAAGGAATGGCTCAGATGATTTTTAAAAATAGGCTAATGGTATACAGTTTATTCAGTGCTTCTCAAAAATTACTGTGCATCAGATTTACCTGGGGTTCTTCTCAAAACACAGATTATTGGGCCCACCCTCAAAATATTCGATTCAGTAGTTTTGGGGTGTCGTCCAAGGATGTGCATTTCTAAGAAGCCCACTGATGCCTGTGGTGCTGGTCTAGGGACTCTACTTAAAGAATTATTAATCTGGTCAGTGGGCCAGTCAAGACAATGACCTTGGTTCTAAATGTCTATATTTCTATATTCTAACAAGACTTAAGAGAAACAGTACAAAAGAGAGAGACAGACAGACAGAAAACTTTTCATTTTGTCAGGCTTGAGAAACAAATTACTTAATCATTCAGAAAACTTTTTGTCACCAGGGACATTTGGGTGAGTTTGTTTGATGAGACTAAAAACTTCAGTCTGGACACAGTGGCTCATGCCTGTAATCCCAGCACTTTGGGAGGTCAAGGCCTGTGGATAGCTTCAGTACAGGAGTTGAAGACCAGCCTGCGTGACATGGCGAAATGCTGTTCCTACAAAAAAATACAAAAATTAGCTGGACATGGTGGGCATGTGTCTGTAGTTTCAGCTACTTGGGAGGCTGCAGAGGAAGGATCTGTTGAGCTCAGGAGATCGAGGCTGCAGTGAGCTCTGATCATGCCACTGTACTCCAGCTTGGGCTACAGAACAAGGCCCTATCTCAAAACAAAAAAAAAAAAAAAAAAAGACTCAAGACAGCCACCTTTTGGGAAGGAACACTAAGAAGAAGAATGCCTGAATACCTGTCGGTGTCACTCAGAGTACTTGCTGTCTCTCATCTCCATAATGTAACACTTACCACACTCCTCTTCTGCAGTTTCAGGACTGCCATTAGGATAATATGGATTACACTTCAGCAGCCCCTATCTAGATGTTATATTCAAATGTCACTGACAGTAAACGGAATCTGCTATACAAAATAATGGGGAATGCTGGCCAGAGTCTGTTGAAAATAGATACCTGCCTTAGCCAGACACAAAGAAAGGTAACCCTGAATGTAGATTAAGTCTGCAATACACACAAATTCTTGATTCTGTCAGGTTCATCAGAGACAGTAAACCCAGAGAGATTTGAAGTCGAATGGATTATGATCATTTACCTTGTATTGAATTCCATGGCAAATGTGAATATTTACCCTTTGCACAGTAAAACTTCAGGCATAGAAATCTGGAAACTACTCTCCTGAATTCTGCTTAAGATATGTAGTCAAAATTTCTGCCTGCTGGATCTAGGTGGCTTTATTATTGTCATTATTAAAAATGTATGTCCTATTTTCATGTAGCAAGGTGACAGGTGATATACAAAACAAGATGCATCCATAATCCATGCCCTTGAGGATCCTTCATACAAATACAAAGACGAGCACTGATTTGCAGACAATAGCCTAATAAAGCAGCTTAAAGTAAGATATTTTTTTTTGTTTTTTATGGGTTTTTTTACACAGAATTTAAGTGAAAAAATATCTGTTTTTGTGAAGAAAAACACAATTGGAGGGATCAATTTCTCCAGTGGGCAGATGTGATGCTTAATATGAGGTGTCAACTTGATTGGATTGAAGGATGCATAGGTGGGTGGTAAAGTATTGTCTCTGGGTGTGTCTGTGATGGTGTTGCCAGAGGAGATTAACATTTGAGTCAGTGGACTGGGAAAGGCAGACCCACCCTCAATATGGGCGGGCACCATTCAATCGGCTGCCAGCACAGCTAGAACGAAGTAGGAGGAAGAAGGTGGGATAAGCTGGCTTGCTGAGTCTTCTGGCTTTCGTCTTTCTCCTGTGTTTGATGCTTCCATCTGTTCCTTCTGCCCTTGGACATCAGGTTCCAGGTTCTTCAGCCTTTGGACTCTTGGACTTACACCAGTGGTTTGCCAGAGCTCTCAGGCCTTCAACCACAGACCAAAGTCTGCACTGTTTGTTTCCCTACATTTGAGGGTTCTGGACTTAGACTGAGCCACTACTGGCTTTTTTCTTCCTCAGCTTGCAGATGGCCTATCATGGGAGTTTACCTTGTAATCATGTGAGCCAATTCTGCTTAATAAACTCACTACCATATACACATGTATCCTATTAGTTCTGTACCTCTGGAGAACCCTAACTAATACAGCGGAGTTTGTAGATATTTGTTCAGTGTCTAATCCCTGGGATCTTTCAATCAGCATGTCCACATCTCTTGTTTTGGGGGTGAAGTGGTGAAAAAAACAAGGGAAATGATCAGGAACATTTTTAGTATATGCACATTTTTCTTTCCAGTTCTACCATTGATGATATTATTCTATATGTGATCTGACATGGTTTAGCTGTGTCCCCACCCAAATCTCATCTTGAATGGTAGCTCCCATAATCCCCACATGTCATGGGAGGCACCCAGTGGGAAGTAAATTAATCATGGGGGCGGGGTTTTCCTGTGCTGTTCTCACGATAGTGAATAAGTCTCATGAGATCTGATGATTTTGTAAAGGACATCCACTGCACATGTACTCTAGCCTGTGTAAGATGTACCTTTGCTCCCCCTTCACCTTCTACCATGATTGTGAGGCCTCCCCAGGCATGTGGAACTGTAAATCCATTAAAGTTCTTTTTCTTTATAAATTACCCAGTCTTGGGTGTATCTTTATTAGCAGCGTGAGTACAGACTAATACATGATCAAAAACTAATTGGGCCAGAAAATTGTTTTTGGCGTCTCCTTAGATTTTACCTGAAGAAAAGCCTGACCAGAAGGGAACCAATTACACTGGAGTTCCATGGTGTTTGAATCTGAGAAGACTGAATATCAGTATCTGCTTGACTTCAAATCCAGTCCTGTTGTCTCAATGCCCATATAGCTACCTGCTGGCATCCTCGCCTGACACCTGCTCCAGGGGGACTACACTACCAGATAGCCTCACCTCACTAAAATTGATTTAGAATTGGATTTTAACTGCATTAGGCTAGAGCCAAGGTATTGAGAGGACCTGCTGAGCATCTGCCATTTAGACACGGGCATCACTGCAAATGGTCAACTCTCCAGTGTAGACTAACATGAGGAATAATTTATCCATTTGCCTTATACTATGATGCAAAAATTCAATGGAGTCAGTCCTATTAAGTGATTAGTTTCTCTCACTTTTCTTATAGGGTTGGACCTTGCACTAAAAGTATACTTCATGTAATGACTTATGGGTAACCATGTGTCTTTTTCTTGCCAAGTGTTCTTACAGGCATAGCCCAGTGCCACCTTCATATGATTACAACACTTAGAATAAGACAGGCAATAATGCTCCTCTTATTCCTACTAGGGATACAAGAGCTCTACTATAGCTTGTAACTTTCATACTTTCTAGACATCAGGAGGGACCATTCACACCACCACCACCACCACCACTGCTGCTACTACTTTTATTGCTATTTCTACTAGTTCTTCTTCCTTCTCCTCTTTTTTTTCCTTCTTCTTTCCTTAGGCTTCTGTACTTACCCTTTATTCTCATGCGTATTTTCTACCTGTTGATTAGACAACTGGAATTCGTCTATGTAGGTTGGTGGTAGAGTAAGCCCACATCAATATGTGAGTAGATTAAGCTGTAGAAGATTAATACTTGTGACTCACTGTTGTCTCACATCATGATGTTTGTTTCCTAAGTTAAGGCTCCTTCGATTTTGGCATGCAGAATGGTGGCGTCTACCCAATAATTTATGCTGCCTTCCCTTTGGAAGTCATTTCCTGGGCAGAATACCTACCACAGTTTTTCTATTACATATAGAGTGTAAAACTGTTATGCAATATTTCTAAATAAATTTAGAGAAAAAGATAAACTTTAGAACCAAAGGAAATGTTTGCATCCTCCATTCCTAAGGTCACATTTTGTAAGGCCAAAGAGGAGAAGTCCCATGGCCAGGGTCTGAGAAACTTGTTACTGTAAAAGTAGTAATAGGTGTCCAGACTTCATTGCTGAGTTATTTTTCCACTTTAGAGGCCAGATCAGTCATGACTCATCTATACAAAGGCATATATTGGGCAATTTATATTTCCAAGACAAAGACAATCAGGATATCTTAGACAGAAAGAGGGTTCAATTGAGTCTATAATTATAATTAATTTGTAATGGTTTGTCCTCTAAATTGGCACATATAACTGACATTAGAGATAATCAGCTAAAACTACGACAATCAAAATTTTCAGATTCTATTATTAAGAGTATCCAACATATTTATTAATGATGCAAGTGTTTTGCAAACCAAGGAAGGTATTTCTTACAGCAGAAGAAAATTCCGTTTGTTCTCTCACTTCCTTTTTTCTTAAAGCATTAGAGTTATTAAGTGCAACATCTGCACTGAACAGGCTGTTTGCTTTTCAAATAACTTTAGCAGAAAGAAATATTTGATGAATTAGTAATGTGTTTGACCTTGAGAAACTGATCAAAATATCTAACTCTTTGGTCCTTTACTTTGATGCCTCAGTAACTTTTTAAAGCTGAATTTTACAAGCCCCTTAGCAAATTGGTTTTGCAATGGTGTTTTTCTTGTATCTGATATATTACTTGGATGCTGACAAACCTGCTGGAAAGGAAAACAAAAATGAAGGTCTAAGTAATCAGTAGCCTCTGCAATCATTATAGATGCCCTGTGGGTATTTCAGAGTCCTCTAATTGAAAACAAATTACGTCAATCCACTTATGTGTGTTGAAAATTTACAATAACTCTAAAGAATGAGGAACCAGACACATCAGCATAGTTGAAAGTTAACTTCTGAGACATTAAAAGATGTTCATAGGTCTGTAACTTCTTGTTCTTTGTCCAGGAAATTTATTTTCTAGACAATTACCTCTATGGGGAACACCCAGGGCTGGAGGGAACAATTTTACAGAATCTTACTGTTATTAAGTCAACAGTGCTAGCTATTAAATAACAGGTGGCAGGCTGTGATTTATATGCGCAAGTTGCACTGTGCAGTCATCCTATGCAGGCCCTGGCCCTCAGGAAAGAAAGCCAAAGATGGTACATCAATTACTATAAAACTAAAGCATCTTCTTTTGTTAGTCCAAATGTGCTTACCTATTAAGCTATAAAAAATATAATCCATGAGCCAAGACCAAAATCACCAGTGTACACTCACTCCACACATACATGACATTCTTTAGTCTTATCATCTTCCTTTACATGTTCATTACACATATTTAAAAAAAAGATAATCCATCTACCTCTTCCTATATGATATGCTTGAAACTAAGCAATGTGGCAGTGAGCCATGAGAAACCTGGATCAGATATTTCAATTGAATAGACAAGTCCTAAACTTATTCAAAGAATAAGTAAGATTGTCTTGGGATGGTTTTGTTTTTATTTGGCATTAGTTTTGATTTGGTGTTGGTAGTTTTTTGTTTTTTTTTTTTTTTTTTCCCCCAGGAACAGCGGATATATTCCATGTTTTGTGGAACATTTTTTAGTTCACCAGTGCTTTAGGTATTATAAACATCAGTCATATATCAAATCTTGCTGAACCCAACTCACTCAGCACAGAGA